TTCATTTGTTACAGTTTTGTTATTTTGCGTTTCTAATGAGTTTTTATGAAAATGTTGACCATTCTTCGAATTTCAAAAGTACAACTTTTACGGAAAGTGACATGCACGTTAAAATGGCTCATTCCGGCGGCGATGTTGACAAAACAAAACATAAACTCTGTTTTTCTTCTATTTCTTGTTTATCGTTTGAGATGTTCTTCATTATCAACGCGTTTCAACAGTTTTTAACGGAATATACTATAATAATATTAAGAGCTTTGGTAATTAAATATTCACATTTTCTCACAGCTCGTGATAAAATGTGAATCAATTATGTAATAACTAGAAACGTTGTAGGAGCAATCATTTGAAGACAGACTATCATCTTCGCAGTTACACTTTGTACGTATATACCAGTTGCTTCGTTGGCATTTAATAGGTGGTACATAATCTGTTTTGACTTAAATGAAAGAGTGATCACTAAATCAACAAACCATTTAAGATGGTAACGTTCACATTTCAAAAGAAGGCACATACTCTGTACTCTTTTTTTAACATACATAGCGAGATAAAGTCAAACCAGTCGCATTCTGTCAATTATTTTCTTTCCCTTATTTTTTTAAATTTTTTTATCGGAATACCAGATCATATTTTTGTAGTAAATATTATTCATGATAAAAAATCAAAAAACAATTTATCTAATGAAAAATTGAAAGAAGAATTTTCTATTTAGTTGCATTTACCCTCATTAAACTTGGACAAAAGCAAAACTACTTCTTTTACATAGATGATCTAAATTATTACTGTTGATGTATGTTTTCATGAATTTTTGAGTTTATTTTGTATTTTGTCATGGCATTACCAACAATTTTACTTTTAAGGAGTGCTAACAAATATAAGAAGTGTGAACATTATCGTGTATTCATTTACAACTTTTCAATCTATACCAATCCTATATCCTGTGTTATTATGTTTTTACATTCAAAGATTCCGGTGAAAGATTTGTAAAAATAAATTATTTTGTCTGATACAAGCTCTTTTGTTAATCTAAGCTACTGAAATGAAAAAAATGACACAAGAGTTTTGATGTGGTTTAAAATACAGTGTTACAGGGTCTTGTAAATGTTTGAAATTATCTTGTTAATTCTAATTGTCAGAGGGCATATTTAAATTTAAACGGCGCAAGGCTAAAGCGGTAGAAATATACTATTATGCAACCTGATTGTTATCACACCTTTAAAGTCACACCTCGAGAGAGTTAAAGCAAAAGAAAAATGACAATAAAATAATTAAAACAAAGTAAGAATAGAAACGTTCCTAAATTCGACTGCTATTTTGAGAAATCTAGCCTGAAATATTTTTGAGGTGAAACAATGCTCGTTAACCTCGTCCTTACAATTGCAAATAACTCGCTTACATTACTCCATCGTCCAAAGGTTTGAGCTAATTATGATTCATTCACACCACACGGGATACTTATAACCTTATAAATTACTACACGGTACATGTATTGTTGTGTAATTCATGGAAACTTGGCACGGCCTTTTCTTAATAACGAAATATATGCGAATGTATTCTATTTTTCTGTTTGGAGGATTATTATATGTTTCTGATGAAAATAGTGCATCATATAAGTGCATTTTGATTCTTCATGTTAATAACATGAAACATATAGAAATAAATATATTGGTTGTCTATATACATGTGTATACATCAAATATAATAAAGGCGTCGTTGGAAATGAGATGTGGTATTATTATGACCTCTGTTATTTGTTTGTAGTTTGGTAAGGAATGTTTAGAACCACAAAGCGTTGATGACATTCGTGCAAATGTATATAACATTGTTTATTTCAATCTTTACTAAAAGAGGGTTTTTTCCTCATAATAATTACTTGCTTTGTTAACTAAATATAACTTTCCTCTAATTTTACTTTTTCCAAAAGTAAGTGTATAGTTATCAATAAATATTGTTATATAAATATAACACTTAGAATAGTAAATGTGCATAGAAGCCTTTTTCCTGCTTTCACTATTAAAATAGCAATGTTTTGACTTTTTAAACTTTATTGTCAGAATTTTGAAATACGTAAGCCTCCAGCTATATAGTGCTTTGTCAGACAGTCGTATGTTTAGGTCTAATTGTCTCTCTACTTAATATAGGCATTTGCGCTTGCATTTTAAGGCGTTAACGGGTTAAATCGCATTACACTCAACATTTTAGGACATTACGTGAGTACTGCTTCTTGCAATAATGGTTTGGGTTGATACACCTGTGGCATTTTAATAGTATAGTCAATAAAAATATAAAAACTTCCTCTTGACTTGCATATAACTATATATTTAGCTCTTCAATAAACCAGATATTAAACACTTATCTTTTATATGTGAAAATACGTAGTAGGTTTTAGCAAACTGCAAACATTTATAATGTTTTGTGCAATTAAACAGCGGGTTACGTAATTATAGAACAACCCATAAAAATGTTCCAAATTACACTAAATTTTGTCTGCAAGCATAAGTTTTTTTTTTCACCTGTGTAAACTATTATAGTTCTTGTTGAACAATCTACTGCCAGCACCATTTCAAATATCAATGTATCATTGCGCCTAAGCAAATATGAGTACAGATGTTTCTAAATTCAAAATTTCGCCATTTTCATGCCTTAATGATGAATTCTGCTTAAGCCGGTGCTTGGGACCATGCACGGTAGCTTGCAGTTTCGACTGACGTCCATGGAGAGGCTCAGTCAAACCGTGTCAGCAGCATTAAATTTTTTCCCTGTCTTTTAATGTTCGAAATATTAATAACATTTTACGTGCTATACATAAATTTACTTAATAAAACTTGAAAATGTTAAATACACCTTATCGTAGCTTATCGTAGGACGGTCCGGCTGCGTAAAAATACATGAAATGGCATACAAATAAAATTAATGATGAATTAATATTGAAATATATTAAATGACAATAAAATAATGTGTTCTGTTAAATTTTAACATATATCAAATAGTAGGTTATTGAAAGTGTGCCCAACTTTTGCGTTGAAATAAACATGCGTTCATGAAACTACTAAGGAAAATTCCTCAAAGTTCATGCAACGGCATACACATATACTGCGGATCATCGTTATGTGATTTTTTCACAAATAATCGAAAACTAATTGGTTTTATTAATGATTTTAGTTCCTGACAATACATCAAACGGAATCAATGTTACGTTAGTTTGATACTATCTATAAAACAGTGTCAATTTATAATGGCTGGGAACAAATGGTTATATTATACCAGTTTTAATTAAAGGTACGTGCCCTAGAGAAATAAAAACTAGTAAAGCATGTCTGACAAAAAATACAGAAGAACGCCCGTCAACCTTTTCAACAGTAAGCGATATTGATGAAACTATTTCCCATGTGAATTTATTCATGCTTTGAATTTGACAAATATCACTTTGTTAATAATTTATTTTTTTATTTATAGTAAGTACGGTTTAAATTATAAGTATATACGGTCTATACTTTCAGGTACATTCGTCCTCATTTTAAGGTAATCATTTTTTTCTGACCCTTTAAACAGTTATTAGTTAGAGCATTTTTTTGATTTCCTGAATTGTCATATGACTTTTGTATTTGCTATGCAATGATAAATCACATTCAATGTTTCGCAAGTGTTTTAGTATGATTAAACATCTAAAAGTATCGTCCGTCCATCAATCTGCCTTTGTTTACACCGTTCCTATTAGTAGTAAACAATTTACGTAATCGTCTGTAACAGTTTCAAACCAGGGTGTTTATCGTGTATAGATGTAGTCTTGGTATTCCAATAGGAATATAGTAAATAATCAATAGTATTCCGTGAATTTGGCATCGTATAAGATAGGATACTACCAAACACCGTTTTCACAATTCGTACAGTATATTGAGGTACACCATTCATATATCATAAATTAAACGATACATAAATGTTGTTATTATTTCCTCTCATATTATTACCTTTCATATCGTTTGCCGCGGAATATTAATAATTCGCTCAAGATTATTGGCAAAGATTTCTGTAATTAAAGAGACCAAAGGTCGTCGGGTACGTGCGAAGAAGCAATTAATGCGTTTTATGTCTATCAGCAAAATTAATGCGTTTTATGTCTATCAGCAATAGTTTCCTATAACCATAAGACTTTATTATGGTATTATCTGTTATTATTTTGTGCAAACAAATGTTTTAACTTTACGTGAAAAGTTCCATGCTTTATCTCATTGTTTGAATATTTTCCCTATTCATATATTCATATTGCTTTTAATTTAATTTCACTTAATATCAATGAATAAAATGTTATTAATAACTTGGTGTTTTTTTGTATCAAGCACCAAGCCTCTTGCATGAAATTTAACACTTAACCTATTTGTGGCAACTGACTCTATCCATCTGACTAGTACAGACCAAAATCAGCCGCATTGTATTTACAATGTTACGTGTTAGTATTGTAAACTTTCTTCTAAAAATGGTAAATGGTTTTGGAAAAATTAATTTCATATATATAGCGCGGTATGGGTCAAAAATGTATTGCGCATTTCATTCAAATTTGATTTTATATTTTAACCACTTAATTCAGCTGCTATCTCAAATTCTTTTCAAGACCTGAATCAACATGGGATATTCGTTTTACAGTTTAGATTTTCTGAGGATAAGTCTGAAAAAAAAATTCAACTGAAGCATGCTAATGGATCTTTTGGTTAATTAATTTTCCCGATCCAATGAGCATCTTCATCTATCTTTCATGAATTTATTTGACTTGTTTACCCACAAAAGTCAATCAATTTTGAAGAGAAACTCTATTTTATTCTGTAGAGTAATTATATATAATAAAATTATATGATTGATAAGTTTAGGTAGCTGACCGAACAAAGTGTCATGAGGGACATTGTAGCTATTATAATCCTACTTTAATTATGCCGTAACTCGTAAGTTAGGTATGAATAAGATTATTTTATGTACTATGTAGATACATCAGCAGGTATGCATGAAGTAGAAACGCGCTGTCTTTATTTATTTTTCAGAGAATAGTCGTTTTCTTCAATAGCTGAATAACTATTCTTTAAGAGTTAAATAAGAAAGACTACAGGAAACTTGTGAAGTTGTTTTATCCAATAGGAAACGATTGTGAGGAATGTGCGACAGAATGTACTACAAGAATGGCCGTTGGATTGGTTTTCTGTTCATTCTGATACTGCATACACTGTTCTGAATATTATTTCCTTAACATATCACGCGAGAGTGGCGGAACGCTATAGAATTCCTCAAAACTAATCTTAAGTATTATTGTTATCGTGGAACTGTGATTTTTTTGTTCATATTCATAAAGTCGTGAAATGTCTGATGAATAGAAGTTGAATATGAATAACATTTTTTTTTATATAAAAAAAGTATCTTCGGATATTGTTGTGTCCCGCTGGATTGACCGGACACGGAATTAAATATTGCATACGGCAATACATTAGTTTATCATTCTTAACTATACATAGCGATAAAAGGTATTGATGAGTTGAAAAGTAATTAATAATATTAAGGATTTATATAAATCTTAAAGTCAGAAAAAGGTGATTTCTCAAATGCTTACAAATTCTGGATTTTTACTAATAATCTGAATTCAAAATGGATGACTTGGATACTTATTCCTATAGCGAATATGACTTCTACGAAATGTTTGCAAACGACACTATTGACTATAAAAACGTTCCTTTCTTTGGCCATATTAAAAAAGTCCCATTGTACGAGATCATTTTCAAATCTTATTTGTACGCGATGATAATTTTCTTCTCTTTGGTCGGCAACACTTTGATCATCGTTGTAGTGATGCGACACAAACAAATGAGGACAACGACAAACTTTTACATCGTCAATCTAGCTGTTGCCGACATTTTAGTGACCGTGTTTTGTACTTGGGTCCATCTGGTAAACAACCTCAACAACAATACTTGGGTCCTCGGCGGATTCTTCTGCAAATTCAACACATTTTCTCAAGGTATTTACCAACTTTTGTTTTCGTTTTAGTCTACTCGTATATTAAAATAATATTGTATAGATATTTACCTTTTTATAAAAATTCAGGAATGTTTTCACCCTCTTCACCTGAAAATCGAAAATGTTTTTGTTTAATATATGTGGCTTTTTACTTTTGAAAAATCTGCAGCCTCTTTCATTATATACAGCACAATCTTTTAAAAGGTTTGCGTGCGAAATCATTATATCTTCACCTGCTAAAGTGATTCTCATAACCGTACTTGTATTTAACAAATCAATTAATGTAATTTAACATAAATTTAAACGCTGCGCTATCGAGGAGTAATCTTGATATTTACTGACAACGGTAATAATATAAACATTAATTTCACGCATAATTGCTTTAATATAATAAAATTAATGCGTTTTAATTAAATGATTTCATAAATATAGCCCTATCTGACATGTCTGATATGTTTTATTGTAAGTAACATTTATGTCTGAAAAAGGTAAATACTCTGTGCCAACTGTTAAGATATCTTTGAACTTCAATATAATATAGACTTCATAATTAATGAGAATTTGGTAAAATGCAACGATAGACTATCCACAGAATCAGTATACTTAAATCAAATAACCAATAATTGTAGATAAAAATGCTTTTTTTTCATTTTGTAATATTATTATTTTACAAATCATTGGTTATACTATGTTGGTTTTGTCGTGCCGCGGCTCAAATGGCAAAATCGGACAATTGATAAAAGTCATATGCGATATATTTGTGGTCTCTTTAAATTTCATGTAATAGTACATTGTACTGATACGAGTTAGATAAGATTGTATTCGACTGACCATTATCACAGGACACTCCTAACATCGACTGACCATTCTTTTGCTATTATCACAGAATATTCCTACCATTTAGATTGATTGTGTAGTAATGCCTCAAAAAGTAAAAACACCGTTCTTCTTGTTATACAAATAAATACTGATATAAAAATGTGTTTGCAAAATATCGAAATGTCAAGAATTTCTGTCTTAGCTACATCACTTATTGTTATCACATCTTAGCTTTTAGTTTGACGGACGGAATATATAGTTATATTAAGTTTCCAGACAAATATATATGGTAATCAAATTACAGAATTACTAATAGATAGATTTGGTCTGTTGAATAAATAGATTATGGTGTCTGCGAAAAATTCATATCCTATATCTGAATAACACGATACAAGTAATCCTTTTTATCAGATGATAATGTTGTTAGGAAGAAACGCAAGATATTTTAGAGTCACATTCAGCCTACACAATTCAATATTTTTTTTATTTTATAAAGAACTTTCATTTTTGTTGCCCTTTTGGTGTTGCAAAACAAGTAACTCATTGGCCATAATAGTTGAGAAGACTTTTGCTTTTTTGAGATTAGAAAGTTTATTGCGATTCATTTATTTGGATGGCAGTAAAAATAACTGTTCTTTATATACAATTTTTCGCCTTATTAAAAAGTATATCCAACTCAGCGTCTTTTATTTTTGATGTGATAAGCATCGCGCATGTTCTAAATCCATTCTTATGATATTATAAAATGCATGTTTGCTCTTTCTACATCAACATAAAAACGAAATAATATACCTTTAATATGACACTTTTTTGAATTTAAAAAGTTCTATATTGAATTGAATAAAACGCGTACTTAAATGGCTGTGATAAAGATTCTTATAAATGATGTACTTTTCAGTATTCTTTACTATCAGACACATCTGCAATTGGCACGTATTTATTTTTCTCTTTCAATTCCTCGCGAGGGATCTCCCTATTTCAGAACTTGACTATAACGTTAATATGAAAGCTAGTTTATATGTTCTTAAATAACATATTGTATGGGACAGACATTATTTGTTCTCGAAGCAAATCATTCCTGGAGTAATTCACTATGTCCAGAACATTTATACTAATAATGAAAGGCTTTAAGTGCTTAGTTGCACCTTTAGCGAGTCTGCAATATTTTCAAACTTGCCGTGTTGGGGAATTCTTTAGGGCTTCTGTTTTTCTCTATTTTATCTGGGCAGTGTTGTTATATTTGTCTGTTCACTTTGAACCTTTGCTTCCGATACTGAAGATAGTTGTTTATTGCTTACACCGACCGGTTCTATTTATCAAACCGAGTTTGCTAGTTTCATTGTCGTTATTTTTATAAAGCTTTCTTCCTATTTCCAGATGTTTTAAACATTCTTGCTCAAAATTTATCAATGGTCACGCAGCTACATTAAGACAAATTATGCCAGGTTACTACAACCTTAGTTGTAACTTAGTTCAAATGTATGCACAAATGCATTTAAAAATTAACTATAAGACTTTGTTTTCTATTTTATGTGTTTAAAAGATGGTCAGATAATTTCCCCCTAATTTCTGTCTTCTTTCATGTAACATCGCCATAGATAACATGACAATTGTATAACAAAGAATGCTATAATGTCGGATATGAAACGTGTTCCGAACGTTATCATAGTAAAGAACCTTTAGTATAAAAGTTGGCATAAATTCAGGTCTTCAGATCTGTGAAACTATTATTTAATTAACAACCTTTTTCTTCGTAATTAAGACCATAATCTAAGACTGTTAAGCGTATGCGTTTGCTACTTTACGTTAATTACCTTTATACAAGAATCTCGAGATGTTTGTTTATGTCATATTTTTCACATAATAGTTTAATAAGATTAGGCGTGTAATTTAAAATATTTACCAGGCTTTTTTCATTTTTAAATGTATGTCAACGAGTATAAGATGTAAGGTAAACCTATTTGTTTAACCGGCTTCCTTTTATCTACAGTACTTGTAATAATGGTAGTGTACATGTATGTGATAATTATGAACGTTATATAAATTAGCGTGGCTTTTTCATCTTGAAACTTCTATCAAGTTATTGTTACTATGTAAATGGAACGAACGATAAATAGAGAGGTACTATTTAAAAATTTGAAAACGTCTACTTAAAATATTGTTTGAAATACTTATAAACTAGCACTTAAAAGCAGTGTTTAAGATCAAAGAGTAATTATATATGGTGAAACGTTGCCCTTTCTTTGTTATTTGATATGCATTTTGAAGCACGTTTTGAAGGTCTAAGATGAAGACGCGTACGGTATTAAAGCTATACCTCAAGGCATTTTCATACTTGCAGAACTATTGAAGCTGCCGATAGATCTCTATTGATTATATCAAGTTATTGATTTGATGAGCATCATTATTAAAGGTCGCCAACATGTTCAATAGTCTTAAGATCATAAACATATGCTACTTCATCGTTAATAACTCTTTACTAAGGCCGCGCAAACGACGATCATTGATTCACGTTATTTTGTTCGTTAGACCGCCTGATGCATCGCCGTGGAGTTAGGTGAAAAGTCGAGAACTCAGTTGATTAACAAACAACGACCGGATATTTATATTATTAAAGTCTTATATTGTTAGAACAATCTTAAACTACATAAAATCAGTCAAAATAATTGTATTGTTTCAATATTATCCGTACAATCTGAAAGAAAATGAAACTGTCTCAACCTAATCATATTGTTTCTGGTTTATTTTTTAATACTGTATTCATCTTTTGAAACAAACGAACACTCAAACAAACAAAAATAACACATAGTGAATAAACACAGTTAAGAAACATCAGCAAGAAAACAAAGCAACTCACAATAACAATACAAATCAACATAAAAATTAATTCCCAAAACAAACTCGGCATGCTATTTTTTTTTTAAATAAGCAACTTTAATGTCATATAAAAAAAGTTGTCTTCGCTTATAGTATGCATTTTATATAACATATGAAACAAAACCATAAACGGAATGATAGATAACAAAACATTAGAAATATGTTGGTGCTTATCTACGGTATTTAAGCAAAATGTGATCGTATGTTTTCAAATTATGTTCCCCACCATGAGTATGGTCGTATAATGAAAAGATTGAATCACTAAGCCGATCTGTTTTCAGGATCAGTTTAAGTTAAGGAGGCTTTGAAAATGAACTTACAGATAAGGAGGCAAAAGTTTGCATTTCAAATCTTTAAAAATCTTGTATTTGCTGTTGATTTTTTCAAGATATAAAGTTGCTTAATTCTAAATAAAATTATATTTAATGTATAAGTAGGCTTAGTAAGAAGTGAATCATAAACGGATATTTCAGATATGTAATTTTATATCATTTAATGTATTTTATCTGCAATAATATAAGTGCAATGCTTTTACTTGATAAAATCACTATTCTATAAATTAACGTAAACATTTCTCTACGAGTGCAATACGAACTTTCAGTTTTTATAATGTTAAAAACAACATGCAAAACTATTTATACTTAGATACTTTCAAGAGCGAATACATTTATACTTATATTGTCTGCATTGCATTTTAGTCATAAATGCTATATATACAACTAATATACAATGGAATACAAAAAGGAGCTTTTATTATACGGCCCTGAGATACATTTGTTAATTATAAATAATATATAACGTTTATAACATTTTATTTGGCAATAGCAACATACAACAACGAAATGACGACTTTTATTTTTACTGGCATCTTTCGAGTGTCTTATTTCTTTTGCAAACACCCTACTGCACGTAATAACCGTAAAAGTACTCTGTGGTATATTTGGTTAGTATTTTCCTCTTAGATATTAACAATCAAATTATGCAATAAAACGTCAAAGCTCTTGTCACTCGGCACGCTCACTTAAGTCGCCTTAATGGATATTTGACGTGACCTGGTGCTAGTCAATTGTATATATACTTATAGCTATAGCGTTCAATCTAGAGTTTCTCACTATCCAACATTTGTACACACCTTTTTTCTGTTTTGAAGGTATGAGTTCTACACAGAAATCTAATAAGAGTTTTTTCTTATTAATTTAATGTTTCTGACGAAGACATTGTAAATAAAACAACTCATAAGTCAAAGGCGTTTTTAGAACTATTAAAGTAACACTTTCTTTAAAAAAAACCGAAACGATAATAAGTACCCTCGTTTGGTTGATTAAAACGCGAATATATTATAATTAATGAATTTATGAATTCATGCATTTTTTATTTTTTTTTGCAATAACAGCAATGTAACTTTACAGAACATAAATGTTTAACATATTATTTTGTCGTAAATTTAGTGTTTAATTTTTTGAGTTATACAAGCTCATAACTATTTAATAACGAGCAATATTCCTGTTAAAATGGTATCTAATTGGACTTAGTTTCATATGTTAGTGGCATAACAATTATGATTGTAGCTGTTTTAATTGCATGTCTTTTATTTGGGAGTGCTGTACTTTTTAAACGTATTACCAACTTTTTAGCATTAAAACTATGCTGCTTATTTCAACTTGAAAAAAACCCACTATAATTTAAATGTTTTCTAGCATTTTTCTTTTGTGCTCTGTTGATGGGAATTTCATCAATATCCAACAAAATGTACACAAATTAATTCAATTATGTTTTTCCCTTTGCTTGTTTAAGTTCTGACGTCTTCCATTAAAAGCATTGCTAACTTTTCTGCTTACATCATGCTCTCCTGATAAAAATGGAAGTTATTTTTGTATTTTGATTATTAATATCACACTCACAAACATTTTTAGTAATAAAAGCATTTGGCTGTGAATGTTCAAGTATGTCAATACATTTCAACGTGATATTAACCATTCGCTGCTTGATGCCATTCATGTTGAATATCATTTGATTAGTATAATAAGTTATAGCTTAGAGATATGATTTTCAGAATCTGAGTTTCTGCATTAGGGTTTGTTCTATTGTTTATTTTGTACTCGATCTGCTTAGTGCTTTTGAAGAGTCATCCATATATCTTATTTAGTGAACCATTATCAGTTTTTTTGCTGACAAATGGGTTTCATTTCCGTTTAAGATTAGTTAACAATGCAGTAAACAGTGTAGTTTCATCCTTTTAAAATTTACGAAACGATACTACTTTAAAGATTTAAAAGTTCAATATATGTATGTATCATTTTAAATAGCAAAACCTAAACGCACATATATATGGTACTAATATACAACTATAATATATATCATTTAAACTTGAATCCCGTAAATAGATATTGATATAGTTATAAAAGTTTTGGGAATTCGTTTTTAAATATACATTTTGTATTTACAGATGTTGCTTAGTTTGGTTAAGCATTTGAATATCTTATTTGAGATTTAGTCATGCATCATAAGTGAACAATATGAAATTCATTTTCAGTTCTATGTCTGGTAGCAAGCGTCTTGTCTTTGACACTAATTGCGTACGACAGATTCTTTGGAATTGTATTTGCTTTGAAGGCTCACATGACAAGCCGGAAAGCTCGCTTCTCTATTTGCATCATATGGCTATGCTCCTTCGCTATTGCTGCCCCGTTGCTATGGTTCCGGAAATTGAATGAACGCCAATGGCAGAACTACACCGAACGCTGGTGCGATGATTCTTGGCCGCGTGAGACAAAGGCGGTTGCAGGAACAAATACTACGATGGAATACATGCCGTCAAGGACTATATACTTCACGTTTGTATCAGCTGTGTTGTATTTCTTCCCGATGATTGTAATGACAATTGCCTACTCCGTGATCATTAGAAAACTGAGATCTAGCACCATTCCCGGAGAAAGAGTAACCGCCGGCTATGAAGCGCAGCAAAAAACAAAACGAAAGGTATGAAATAAATTTTTGTAGGTATTGACAAGCCTATTTATATTGACAGTGTCTATGTTAATTAGAGCTTTTTCACTACCTTACAACCGAATCTTTTATAATGTTTTACCTTTCTTAGATCCAGCTCAAAGACATATTGTACACGCTTTCCTACTTAAATTTCATCAATACTTTCAGTAATAAGTTAAATCTGCATAAAAGAATTTTAAAATTAATAAGTCATTAAATGTCAAGCGATATTAAAGGAACAATAAGTATTGGAAATATTACAACCATTGATTATAACGCTCCGTGTATGTGGCTTGATCTTTATAAAACAACTGATCCTGAGTGCTTTTCTTTAAAATACTCGATACATTCAATTTTCATAGAAATATACTCATTTTTAACTTACATTATGTAAAAGTAACACAGACATAATTTAAAAAGAAAAGGAATCTGATCATTTGAAATGCAATATCTATAACATTTTTTTTATGTTTTTTTAATTTTTCACCTTAACCTTCCGTATGCTTAAAAATGACTTATAGATTGGGTTATTCCAAAAAGCAATGCAAACTGAGCAGACACTTTTTATGGGTCATAAATGCATTAATGATGTTGAAATAAGTTTGTGCTACTTTTTTACAACAGGTTATAGCAATGCTAGTTACAATAATGGCAGTGTTTGGCATATGCTGGCTCCCATACCAAATTGTGCTTCTGTATAGTGAGCTTCGAGAGACTCGGGATACAGTAAGTTGATTTTATTTTATTTTTTTACAAATGTACACATAGATGAGCACAGATATTACAGTAAAGAAATGTTTTAAAGAATGTTACATATATTGAAATAGGGACGACATTGTTTGAAAGTAATACAAAGGGAAATCTTTTATAAGCATACGAAAGATATCTATGATTTTCAGATGTTAAATATGTTTTTCAATTTAAAAAAATAAATAAATCAACAAACATTCATGTATCCTACACTTCAAATATGTTGCGGAAATAGTGCTGTTTGTTGCTCTTACAAGAGGATGATACAAAAACGAAACTATTATTCAGAGGTTATATGAATTATAGAAACTAAAAGATTTTATCGACTTTGATATATATGAATAAACAAATATATAAGCCCTTAAGCTCTACTTATAAGAAATCTAATTTTAGCTTGGAGATTGGTATTTCACGATGCAGTTCCTAGCAGGTTGTTTTGCGTACTCAAACAGCGCTCTGAATCCATTGATATATGCCGGATTTAACAAAAACTTCAAACAAGGTATGAAGGAGAACTATGAATGCTTATATTTTAGTTAGTGTGGCTTTTGATAGCTTTTATCTTTTTCTTTTGAACCATATTTATGATTTTTCCTTTTATTTTTCTTATTTCATTCAATCATTATTTTACTGTCGCCTTTACTGCTTTTTTAGTTTTATGCATGATCATACTCCCCACAAAACAAATACATTCAACAATTGTCGACAGAATCAGTCTTTATTTATGCTCACTTTTTTCGTTCAAAAATCATTTTAGAAATATCCTCTTAAATTTTAATTTGTTAAAACATTGAAATATTTGTTTAAGGGATGGGTCCGTTTAGATTTAATAAAAACAAAATTCATTCATAAACTTTAAGCAAGATGGTTTCTGTTCATGTTCATAATAATGAAGTATAGATGTACTGGGGGACGATTTTTGATTATATATGTTTTGTGGCGCAAATAATAGTAATAGCTTAGCAAAGATGGCGTAGCTTTTTATTTTCGCTTTGCTTCATTTACTCGTTCTGCCTGCATGACTTGTTTATTCACATTTACCATACAACTCTCCTTTAACATAAAGCTCTCCTTGTAAGCCAAAGTTTAACATGCTCTTCAATATGTTATCAAAACTTGCTTTTATAGCCTTTCTTAACTTGAGGCGAGGCATGGATGACCATCGTCGCCAGAGTACATTCAAACACACTCAGGTGAGAGAAATGTCGCCAAAGATTGGCACAAAATTGTCAAAATCAACGACAAGTAGTACAAGGACGGTGATAAGCAGCCAGTCAAAGACGCCTGAGATTACATTAACGAAGGCTTTCTCAAGTGAAACTCTTGAACCTCTTCTGCCTTTCGCTTCCCCATCACCTGAGCTGTTGTCAATGATTGACAGAAAAAGACGTGATGCGCAAAAACACATTGAAGTCATTGAATCAAAGATTCCTCCTCAATATCTACTGTCGCGGTCAATGAACTATATAAATGAAACGACTTGTTACAATGAAAAAGAGAACACATTGGATAGATACACAAATCGCACCTGCAGTCATTCGGCAGATGCAATTCCAAATTCGTATACAGGATAATTGACTTAATCGCAATATTGGTATTCAATGTCGAAAATAAAGTTTTGATCAAACAGCAATAAATCATCGCATGATTCCTTTATAGAACTGTTTAGAAAATCACCTCAGCTTACAGTTTGCATTATTGTAAAGTGTAAAAAAAATCAAGTAATTATCATGTTAATAATGACTCGAGAAATGATAATATATTTTAATAAATAAATTATGGACGTTATGATTTTCAATTCGAACGGTAGCCTATGCATTGAGATGGCTGTATATCGTAATGCAATGCTGTTCATTGCAATTTATTGATAAATATGGATGTGATAACATGGAATGAGACTAGCTCAATTCTAATTAACAATGAAGGGAATGTTGTCCCTTAAGCTTGGCATGCTTTGTTTTATGTGACGGAGTAACTTTCGTCACAAATTATTAATCTTAAATAAAAAACAAAGATATTCTTTTATTTATACAGCTTTGCATGAACTCATTTTTGTCTGCTTTTGTTTGTGCATCACATTTATATCTAGGCTGTATTTTAGATAGTTTTAGTTGGTCACGTTTTTTTTCTCCATTTTTAATTCCTTTTAAATTTAAAGAGAATATTTTGATAAATATTGGAAGTAATTTTTAGCAAAGCCTTTCCTTGTTGATCTTGTTTATTATCATATTCTACACTATCGTTGAAAATCTCTATGGAACATAATCTGTTTCTTTTATCGTTTTGATTTGATAATCATCATGTTAATATTACACTTGCCGTAAAGTTGCTGAGAATTATGGAAATATTATATTTTAGAAAAAATATGTTTTGATAAAACAATCTCCTGTTTAAACGTATAAACTTTAAAATGTTCGAACATGTAAAAAATAGTGTATTGTAAAATGCTTGTTTACTTTTATAATACTTATCTTAAAATTGTATATTAAATATATATGTATGTATCTTTAATTAGGTATACGTGGTGTGTGGCAGGCAGTTCGTTGCCATAGAAACCCAGCTGTAATGGACCCAAAAACGTACGGAACGTACAATTCTTCCACGTATGCAACCGCTTTGTAGTGTGAACATTATAAGTAACAGTGTGAAATATTGAATTCCATTTTCTAATCCAAAGGGACCATCTGTTGAATATGTTAACTGCTGATTTAGTTTTAACGCTTTTGACTATATATTTTCAATACACGTATTGGTAGACCTTGCTACACATATAGTTTTTATCTTCGTACATTTTATATAGAGTCGCAATAACTTTACCCTGTTGTTTATAGTCTTTACAATTTGGTTGTTATTTCTTTACAACATTCAGCCCATTCCAAAGCTTTGCTTTGTAAATAACGCGTAATTAAATAATGTCACGTCGTTTATTTAATATCTCTTTTGTTAAAAAAGTAAAATGTATATCTTCAAATCGTTTTATTTTTGGCAAAAAGCAAACATTCTGTTTTTAAATCTAATGAAAGAAAGTAGGTTGACAGAAAAGCAAAGTTAATAGCTTAGAAGTTGATAGCTTAGAAACTATCAATAACAATGATATATATTTAACTATAATCTTACTACCCTATTGATAATTACATATGTCAGTTTAAACAATCATTCTTCTTCTTTTTCGTTCAAATGCTTACGTTAATTCCTTCAAAACTAAAGCTGTCGACAAAACTCAAGCGAAAAATACGCTTTTCAATAGCTGTGTATCACATGTTTAATTTGATTGTATTTTCCATACTTGTATCTGTAGGTTTACCCTGGTTTGGCAACGAGGATTCTAAAATATTGTTAGCAGTGAAAATGTACAGAATGTTGAGCTCAAAGCCAGTTGAAAACCGTGCAAATGGCCTAAACGCTTTGGTTTTTAGAAGACTGATAATTTTCATTCCTTTTTTATGTAAGCATTTATTTCAGCAGTAATTCTATTAACCTGATTAAAGACGAATTATTTTATAGTGTACATAATGAATGTGAATAATGATAGCTTTGATGATATGGTTTCAAAAAAAGTAAAATGTGTTACAGGTGTTAAGGTATTTAGCAAACATACCGATTTGTGTGGGGTAGTATCCTATTAGTTTTTGTTGAAGTTTATATCTGTTTATAAATGTATGGATTCTAACAATGGTAATTATGGTAAAATATTCAATTATCTTTTACTGGAAAATACCAATTGGTGTAAGTACTTTGCAATAACATTGACCAATACATAAATGAGAATGAATACTATTTTTGGATAACTGTAGATATGACTTCTTAAATGTGTACAACAGTATGAGTTTTGGGCAAATATGTGAAACAATACATGAATGAGAACAAAATACTTTTATTTAGCGATTGTGCGCACAGTGTTTAAATGGTTATATAAGGTTGTGATAGTGTGAATATAAGCAACAATATATAGGTGCATTTATCAGGCAATGACGTGGCGAATTGTTTGCATTTGCGTAAACCATTTCTAAAGTATTAAGACGTATACATGATACAAGAAATACTTAAAGCATAACCGAATGTTGAAGCTTTAAGGGTCAGGCAACACGTCAACCTTTAAATGTTGCAGAACTGAGTTTGAGCCTGTTAATGGACGGTAGTGTTAAATGAAAGCTTTAACGTCCATACTACCATCCACCGGCTTAAGTATACACGCAACACTATAACACGGAAATGATTTTTGCTTTAATAGCATCTGCAGATCTTAAAATAAACTACGATTAGCAAAATTGGGCAATAAGTTATAAGTTTAAATGGGCACAAGACTGTTAGGTCAAGTAAACAATACATTAACTGAGACTATGATTATGTGTGTGTATATATGGGAATATATATGATTGGATGTTATACCTGTATAATTGAGTACAGTAATGTTTAACATAAAATATAAATATGTATTATGAAGTAAATATCTAGGGCAAAATATACATTGGTCTACAAATAAGTGAATAGTACTTAACATATAGTATATACTGATTAGGTCATTACATAAAATGTACGTTCATATGTGTATAAAACTAATCAATCGTGATTGTAAACATTTATATGACACAGTAAGCAACTGAGTGTATTTCTGAACAAATGTGTCGGTAGGGACCTGCGTTCCGTGAACCTTTGCTCTCCTTTGTTAATGATTGATCATAGGTGATACGAGCTACATGTATTATATGATTACCAAGTGCTAGATGAAATTATGTGATTATTACTGGGCACGATTAAAAGACAAGTGTGAATGTTAAAAAAGTACTCTGTGATAAATTTACAAACAATAGATTTGGATAGCAAAAATACAAAAACATCAATATTTGAAAAATAAGCTATCATTGTGCAAATCTTTCATGATTAAGACGTAAATTTTAACTTGTGTTATATGTGAATAATTAAAAGCATGTTTTGTCATGCTATTTATGGTGAAACTCGGCATTATTTGGTGTTTGTAATTCATTTTATTGAAATAAACGACGACAAGAAGTCAAATGTGTGTTTTATTATATTATTCATTCCTTTTTTATGTTATGCTTGTGTGCTCACAGATTACCCTTTTATCTATTTATAAAGCTTCATATGATCAGTGGTCGAGAGCGTGGTTTTTTCCCTAAGTGTATACTGAATGGCATAGCGATATATTACAATTAAAACAAAAGTGTTTTTTTCGTAATTAAAAGCTAACTTAAAGTAGTTTCCAACTTTAAAGAAATGTTATGTTCTCCCCGAGTTCACTTCAATCTTTGACTTCGATTCTACCTCACAGAATATTTGGCTGTGTGGTCTTGAGCGTTGCTTAAAAGTGACTGTAAGCCTATTTTCGTAGATGCCAACCACTTGAATCTTTAATAATTTTATTTTTTACTAAATGTTACCTTTTTTAAGTTGAATAACTCTTTAATATGTTTATTTTTTTACTCGACTTAAATCTGCCAGTTATTACTGAATAAGATATTTTTTTCGAGTTTTCGCTTATGTTAAAGTATACTTAGAACAAGGTGTTTTACAAAATGATCCGTATAAGAACATGTCCATACATTTTGATATGGAATTGTTTATAACACTATTCATATAGATTTTTCCCTCCATTTATTTAGAAAAACACGTTTTAACTTTTGCACTAACTTTAAAAAGATCTAGACTTAATTTTGTTCCTCTGACTTCTTTTATCCGTTTCTCTTCATATGCTCCATAAAACATCAGGTAATACTTCCTTACGCCTATTTATTTATTTATTATATGTATTTATATATGGTTGGAAGAGGTAACTGGATGAATTAACAAAAAAATATCAAAATAAATTTAAAAGTTTCAATTAGCGCAAACGGTTTCCTAGACATTCAACTTTACTGAACATCACACCTATTTTTAGGAAAACCTTTTTTTTCTGAGATCAATCGAGGGAATGACAAACTGGCTCCCGTACTGAAGGCAACTTTTGTGTTTTTTCCGAACTTTTCCTTTTTCGTGAGTTATTAGAATTATAACGTCGAATTATAAAACAAACAGTGTTTACCAATAGACATATGTTAGGAAATAGTTACAATATGATTCTGACACTTTCTAATAGGGGACCAGTCATGCATCGGCGTAACCTCACAAAAATGCCGCAGTCACATTTTATCATTATATGATCCGGTTTGATTGGCACACGTGTAAGGAGGTGTACTTAAAAATATGTGTTAATGCTTTTATAGATAACACCGAAACGGTTCACGAGGAGATATTGATTATATAATGTAGACAACAGCGAACGGCCACCGTCGAACGACTGACGACGGATATCTAGCCGTCTCGAAAAGCTTTGCAATAAAATGTCATCAAAAGATAAATCTTGTCCGAAGAAAAAAAACCGATAAAAGCAAAGTTTTTTCTATGATGCTGTAATTTTAAACTATTGCAACGTTGTTTTTTTTGTTTTGTTTTTTTTATAGATATTGCCTTAATTTATACACACACCTGTTGACTGGTTGCAACTAGATTGGTTATTGGTGGAACAGTTATGCGCTTGGTTATTTTCTAATCCTTCTATCGTTAGCTGCACATAGCTAGAAAATGAATTGGTAATCCGTTTAAAACTGATATAATATATAAAGTTCTACCCTGCATCAAGCTGTCCTGCTCGCAACACACGGGTGTGGTAATAGGGGTGTTTATATCTGTGCCAAATGAAACATTACAACCGTTAGGTCAGTTATCTCGTGTATGACGACAATACAGTTTTTTTCTAGAAAATGCATTGGAAAAAATAAAATATGACATCTTGTTTTATTTCGTTAACGAGCCAGCAAAATAATTCATAACTTAAACATTATTTTAATAAATGTCAATTATAATAAGAGATTCATGTTTTCCTCATATCACTGAAGGCTATGCCTAAAATCAAGAAAAACAAAATAGGTTTTTCAGAGAAAAACAATTTTCTATGGGTTTTTTTGTAACTTGTTTATTTTTCACTTGCATATAATTATTTTCGTTTTCAGGATAAATGTTTTATAAGTAGACTATTTTGCCGGGGTGATGATGAATGTCTTCGTTTTACGTAATCTATTCCTTAGCCTCTTATAAGTAATGTGTAACTTAGACAATAAATAATTGGTAATGGTTCTACGTGATATTTGTTAAATATTTGCAGGATGTTTCTAGGTTCTACAGCTGTAAATAATTAGGTAACCCTATACAATGAACTTTGCGCACGTCTTTGGTTGAACAATTGATGCCAATCGATAGTATCCATGGATTCTTATCTGTATCCGTTATACGCCCTATAATCCCATTGATGTCTTCAATAAACGTTTTTGAATACAGTTGACATTCCCTATATATGAAATTATATATCTTAAATATCTGTTCTCGTTTGTCATACAATTGAATTTTAAAACAATTAAAAATATATGTTTTCTTACGTCGAAAGCCCGAATATGACGTTTCCCCGAGCGAAGAACCTGGCATGCAAGAAATAATTTTTAATAAAAATCATGAAACAGAAGAAAAACAATCTTAAGTTTGCTCTTCTGATGACTGTTGTCACTTAGAAAGCTTAAATATTTGCATCCGGTTTCAAAATTTAAGAACCCTGCTTAACCAATTTATGGTGCACCGATTTCATGGAACAAAGTTCCTTATAAACCCTTGAAAGAGAAGTTCAAAGACCATTGTCATCAATTTGTGTTTTAAAAAACACAAATACTGTCATAACGCAAAGATATTCTCGTTTTCCCGCTCCATTTTATGAGTACCATTTGAAATCGTAATACTTTTTAAGTTAGCATAATGTGTTCGCTGTATAATTCAAATGACCTACTAAATATGAAAATTAATCATGTTTTTAATAAAAATATTGTCTAGACCCTTAATGAAAAATATGTTGTATTCAATTTTAAGATTAAATAAAGTATATTATTGCATGGCGCCTTCACAGGGAGAAAACATTAGAGAAAAGTAATAATAAAGATGTTTCACTATCAAAATGATAATAACATTTGTATTTCTACCTTAATAATTACATTACTCGACATGTTTTGCAAAGCGTGTTAATTTTTATATTTTGTAAGATACCAGTAATCTGTCTGTTCTTTATATGATGTTGTTTTTGATATTATTCATTTTAAAATAATAATTAAGAAGTACTGTTTGAAATATAATATTAACGTGTGTAACATTTACTCTGCAAATTCTGTAATATAAAAATTCAATGTGTGCTCAAATATGTTAGAAATATAATGTACCCTGGTAACAAACTTCATCTGTCTCTGAGACAAATCAGTATAACCCCGACCTACTGGTGATTTTTTTAAATAAGAGCCCCCAAAACGTCAATTGTAGAGCCGGAGACAAATATAAATAAAAGTGAACGATGTGTTATTGAGAAACAAGTCAGATGACCAGAAAGTGTAAGCTCTGTAGGGTTTTGGACCGGGCGTTTTACTTTTGTTTACACAGTTCGTGTACCTGAAAGACCTTCTTAGAAACAAAATGAAAGTATATGAAAACCATACAAAAAATAGAATTAACAGTTTTTATCAAATTATACACAGTGTACATCAAATATCTATAAGAATGATTTGTTTACACCAAAAATAGTAAAAAATGTCATTTAACTATCAAATGGTACAACAATATAACACATATATTTTATTTTTTTGTATTTGTGCTTTGTATAGTGCTTATATAACATATACGTAGATTTCTATTACTTTTTTATTTAAAAAGTAGTATAGATCCATTTCTTAAAATATTTCTTTTAATTTATTATTACGTAATGTAAGTGTGAGAACATAAATAGAAATTCGATTCTTTTGCATTTAATTTTAAAATTAATCTTACTTCATAGCAGTTTCTCTTTATTTGTAGAACAGCAGGTCTTATGCAAGAACTCAGACACAATAGATATTCAAATGTTTCCTATCACTGAATATCTGACACTCATTTACTGCATAGAAAATAGATGTAGTGACATTTGACAAATTAATTCTTTATTGATGGTCCTGCATAATTATTTCAGAAGTGATATCACACAGTACACACAAAAACACAAACATTCCTTTGCAGTTTAAACATTTAATGTCTAAAAGAATGTAATTATGTCAATATATATTATTTTACATGGACAACAAACAAATTTGATACATCTATTTTATGAAATTGTAAACGATTTATAACATATTATACCAATGTTTTCTTTTAGTTTTTCTTTTCAGTTTGTTTCGTTTGCTTTTAATTTCAATAGAATAAAGAATTTTCACAGATTAGCGATTAAACTCGATATTGATTTCGTAATATGTATTACCAGTGCTAACTCCTATAACATCTAACATGTATCTTGTAGCAACAAAAGAAACTCCTTCAATTAGTTCCTGTCATTGAATGACAGTTAGTGTTGTTTCAAATGACATTACTTTTTTCCGGTGACAGTTTTCTGTGGGAGGGCTTCTAATGGTCGAAAACGACTCGAATGTATTTACAGTTGCTCTCGGTGATGTTTTTCAAAGAGGAACGACCTATTGCTTTGTATTGTTTTAGGAGTGGCTGTTGTTAGACAACTAGCTCCGTTCTTGCATTTTCTTTAAGGATGCTAAAACATTTTGTAAAAATGTTTCAAAACTGAGCCAGTATCAATACATATTATCATCAGATATTACACGGAACTGCAGAAGACTGCAACCTTCATCGATGTGACCGGCCTGAAATTGTAGCGGTGAACGAGAATAAGAAGAAGATCATCAGATATTTAGTATCTTTAAGCAATTCTTCATTAACAAAAAAATATCAATTTATTTTCTATTTTAAAATAATGTGTAGAATCGAATACTTTAGAAATTGAAACAAATTTTTGAAAAGGTACAATCTAAAAAGCTATCATTTAACTTGCATTTTTTATAAAGTGGTCATAAAATCCAAACATTAAAATGTTATGTCAGATATTTATTCACGAAGCTGAAATCTTTTAAAACAGTTTTTGAAAATGTGAGAACATACTGT